CAGCATGGCTTGACAAGCAGTGCGTTGGTGCGCGCCCAGGATCCGAACCGGCGAACCCCGGGCCGCCGCAGCGGAGCGCGTGCACTTAACTGCTTGTGCCACCAGGCTGGCCCCTGGAAGTTTCTTACACAACTAAACATACACCTGCCCTATGGCCTAGCACTTCCATTCCTAGGTATTCATCCAAGAGAAATGAAAATATGTGTTCCCCAAAAGACTTGCATGAGAAAGTTCAGATCAGCTTCTTTCATATGAACCAAAATGGAAGCAGCTCAGGTTCTCATCAACAGGAGACCGTCAAACACACAACATCATGGATGAACGTCAACACTATTAGTTGAGTGAAAGTTGCCAGATACAAAAAGCAGATACGGTAGGATTCCACTTATATAAAATGCTAGAACAGGCAAAACTAACCTATAGTCAAACAAAACAGAACAAAGCAAAGAAGGCCCATTGGCTAATTGTGGAATCTCAGTGGTGGGTATGTGTGAGTTTGCTATACAAGTTTTTCTGTCCGTTGACACGTTTGGGGACAACAAATGCACACACAGCCAGACTGATCTTTCTCTAGCACAGGCTCCATTGCCCTCCCTGCCTGCATTGAAGCATCAGTCCTCATCTGGAGACATCCTGGGTCCCACGGATGGCTCTGTACATTGGTCTCACCATCCAAGACGGCTTCCCTCATGGCCTGGTGCCCCAGGGGACAGCCAGAAGGCAGGGCTCAGGGGACAGGGATGTCTGGGCCTCTCCAGCAGGGCAGCTGGCCTTCTTACATGGCCACTCAGGTTCTGAAAAGCACAAAAGTGAAATCTCCGGGGCCTTCTTAAGGCTTCGGCCTGGAACCGGCTGCCTCACTTCAGCTGTACTCAGAATCAGGCTGGCCCAGAGGGCGTGTGGAGGTGACTGGTCAGGAATGCTGGGGACCCTGGAACTCCTGCAGGAGCCAAGCTTCACCAAGCAGGACCCAGGCCTCAATCCCCCTGCATCAGGGAAAAATGTGTGAGAGAGAGACTGAGGGAGCAGGCTGGGCTTCCCCCCAGAGCCACCCCACTCCCTCCTCCCACTTCCTTCCCACTCAAAGTGCTGCTGTTTTCCCCTTTGTCCGAAGGCGCAGTCACTGGGGCTTAATGCCAGCGGCTGCAGCTCTTTAAAGGAAAAACACCCTGAAAATCTGATAAATGCCATTTTCAAAACTGAAGCCAGAGACCAGAGAGGGTGTGGCTTGTGGTGGAGAGCAAGGCAGAGGAGCCCGGATTAGCCCTGGCCCAGACACCAGGCTGCCCCTCCCCAGATGAGGCGCACCAGCCCCTCATCCCCTGCCTCATGCAGGCTAGGCATTGGCCAGAATGAGGGTGAGAGGTGGGGGCCAGGCTGGGGGAGGGGGTGGGAGGAGGCTGCCCCGGAAGAGAGGGGGACAGGGGAACGCAGCTGGCTGGCGGGGAGCTGGGGGAGTCCTGGCTGCACTGCCTCTGCTTACCCTCCCAGCTCCTGTCCCTCCATGTGTGTGCAGCCCCTCTCCTGACAAGGCCACTCAGACAGGTCACCACTCCCATCCCAAGGACACACACCCAAGTACAGATTCCCAGCCCCACCAGGCTGCCAAAATGAGACTGTGTGGTTGGTTCCACGTTGTGCATCTCTTCCTGCAGTTCCCCCACTTGGACCTTCATCTGCTGGGTCCTTCCCACCTACCATGTGAATGTTCCTCTTCCATGGAGTCCCCTGATCCCTGAGGGACATAGAGCTTCCCCGCTCAGCGCCTGAACCAGGCCTCCTGTCTCTGCTCCTGCGGGCTGTCGGCTCCCCCCCACAGGGGCGCCTTGTTCTCCCATTGCGCAGCCTCGCACCTGACACTAGTGGTACTCCATAAATATTGGGAACGGAATGATTGGGAGACTGTATGCTCCTGGTTTATCTCTGACGTCCAGGTGCCTGGCAAACTGCAGGAGGTCAGTGTTGCATCACTGGAAGCGTGTGGATGTTTTCACTCTTCCTGGACCAGGGACCTCAGCCCCAGCTTCATCTGCGCACTGTAGGCTGCCTCCAAATCTGTACTCCAGCCCCAGCCTCTGTTTAGATCTCCAAGCTGCCTGTTGATCTGTCAGGTTTCGGAGCAGGGGAGTGAAAGAGTCAGAGCTGGGAAGGAGACAGAAACAGATGAGGGCAGAGGACACAGCCTCTCCCTTTGGGGAAAGTAGGAGGATGGAGAGACAGAGACAGGCAGAGAGAAGGAGGAGCTGGCTCACACCATGCAGGATGCCTTTTCCAAAATGGAAGAGCGCTTACAAGGGAGCAAGGAGAGAGCCTGCTCCCTGCTCTCACGTCTGCTGGAGGAACCCCTAGTCCTGCTGCATGGGGGTGGGGTGCGGGCTGGGCCCTGGCCAAAGGTCCCTGGCTGCCCCCTGGGGCACAGCCCTACCCCACCAGGACCCTAGCTAACTCAGCAGGCTGTTGGCCACAGGGATGCTCAGAGGCCACTAGGACTTGTGCAAACAGGTGTTTGCTTCCCTGGGCCCTGGTCCTCTGGGTTTGTAGGGAAGAACAGATAATGGGTTTGCTGCCTGTGAGTAGCTCTGCTGAGGCTCCCCCACCACAAAGGCATTGACTACTGGCTCTGCTAGTGCCTGCATTGGGAGCAGGGCTCTGTTTTGATTCCTAAAGCTGAGTTACTCCCTCTCTGGGAAGCAGCAAGCAAACCACGGAACTTGCAGGGCTTCAGCTGCAGCATCTGTTAAATGGGGATAACAGCGCCTCTCTCGGAGATTCTGTGAGGAGCAGAGGATTGAAAGGGACTGAGGACGCTCAGGGCAGGGCAGCTCAGCGAGGGCAGGACTTGTTAGTCTTAGTGTGAGACGCTGGGTGAGGATGGCGCCAGCCCCGCCACTCTCAGAGGGATAGGTGCATCGTAGGATTTTCAGCCGGGAAGTGACGTGGTCAGATTCAGGATGTGGTGGATGAATTGGCCTTTTCTTTCCTTTCCCCAATACTGCAGACTCATTCCTGCCTGAGGACTTGTGCCTGGCGTGTTCTCCCCCAGGCTTTGCACCGTTGGCTCCTGCCTATTATTTAAGTCTCAGCGCAACTGCCTGCCTCAGAGTTCACCCCGACCACCTCGCCTCTGCCTGTTGCATCATCTTACTTTAATTCTCGGCATGGCACTGCATGAGCAGGGATCTTACTATCCTGTTTACCAACATATCTTGGCTCGTATCGTGCGGACCACTGCAGCTCAACAAATATTTGTTGAGAGAATAAAAGAATGAGACAATAAAGCCTAAACAGAGTGGCAGCAGTGGGGATGGAGAAGGGATGGAGTAAAGCAACATTAAGGAGGTAGATTCTTGGCCACCCATCAGAAGAGGGCATAAGCATCTCAGGTTTCTAGCTTGGGGACAGTTACTGAGCCCAGAGTCACAGACAGAGAAAGGAGCCTCGGCTCCTCTCTTCTCCAGAGCACTTTGGTCACAGCTGCCTCGCCCAGCTCCAAAGTGGTTGAGGAGCAGGTGACATCCAAGCTGCAGTGTGGCCAAATCACTACCAGAGTGTGGAGGGGTTGTTTGACTCTGATTCACTGCCTCTCCCTCTGCCCAGTAACTGCTGTGTCACTGTAGGAACTCCCCCCTTTTTACCCCTTCTTTGCATTTATAAACGAAAGCAAAGTAACTGGACCTCCCTGTGAAAATCTAGGAGAACTTACTTCTCCGTGACTGTGTAATTGCGGGGTTAAAACAGGGCGGCAGGGCTGGGTGATAACATCTGAAGAGCAGTTGAAGAGCGAATGGGGGTGGGAGATTGGCACAGGAACCCCTCCTGATTAACGGGGCCCTGCACTTGGGACATCTGCAGGCACCTGGGGCGCGGTTCTCCCAAGCTGGTGGCAGGCAAAGACAACTGAGCCTTGCGCACTGATTCAGCATGCTTCCTCCTGGCTGGCTGCTGAGTCAGGCCTGCAGAGCTCGCGATGCAGCAGGATGAGGCCAGGGGCTCTCTCTGACCTGGAAGTACTGCCCTTCAGGCGGGGGCTGGAGGTCGTGGCACTGCAGCCCGGTGTGTGCGCGGGCGATGGCGCCGGTGGGGTGCGACAGCAGGGGGTGGCATCTCTGCTCTTGCAGGCACTAGTGGTTAAGCATCCCGGCCTCTCTTACCAGACTGAGGTGCAGTTCGTGGGAGGCCTTTGTGGCTGACGGGAGGGCCCCGAAATTCCCCTCTATTTCTGAGGCTGCAATGGTCCTGGGGAGAGGGCGTAACGAGATGGGAAGGCGCAGGGGTCTGGGGTCCCGGGTCTTGACCAAAGGCTGTAGGTTTTCCTGGAGGAGGGAGAAAGGCCTCCTGGCTTAGCCTAGCCTCTCAGCATTCTGTCCTCTGGAGGGGCTGGTGAGAGCCCTCCTAACGTGTTCTGGAAAGAAGCAGACGAGCACATGACACACGTGCATACGGGGTTGCCACACAGCATTGTTCCTGGTATAGGAGGGAATGGACGGGACGCAGGGCTGACCGGCCATGCTGGGCCGGAGCCGTCCTCAGGCCACACTCCCAACCGCGCGCCGGGAGGGACGACAGCCTGGCGCTAGGTGGTCGGGGGCAGCCGCGCCCGCGCGGGGCCACCCACGGCCGGCACACGCCCCGCCCCTCGCGTGGACAGCCGGCCCCGACCGCACCCGGTCCTCGGCTAGCCAAGCGCCGCGGGAGCCACGCCGGGCCCGCCCCCGGCATGACGTCACGGCGACGCGCGGCATTGTGGGGCGGGAGCGCCCAGCCGGGGGAGGGACGCGGAGACGCCATTTTCGGCGGCGGGAGCGGCAGAGCCGGAGCCGGCTGGGTGCGGGGCGGCGGCTGCGAGAAGGAGCCGCGGGGACAGCGCGGG